GATCATGATTCACTGTGCAGCACTGACCCAGTAAGCGCCTCTAGTGACTGTCTGAGTGACTACTACTAGAAGTGTTCCTAGGAAGTAATTTTTTCTGAAAAGGCAGAGTTTACATTAAAACATCTGCAGGAACAGACAGTAGACACCAGAACAACTACATTAAGCTGCCGTTGTGCTGGTGACTATAGTGTCCTTTTAGTGCATTTGATAGGTTTTAGCTTCAGTAATATGCTATTTTTATTTTTGCATGCTCAATTCTTTATAGTTTTTGCACACAAAAGTGTTTTGCAGAATTTGGCACCATAAGTTTTCCATTCGCGAACAGAGGAGGTACCACAGCACCATGGGGAACCCCAAAAGAGCCCAACCGAACCCCCAACACACAGGGAAGACACCGGCAGGGAAAACCGGAACGGTCACCCGTTTCTTTAAGGACTACGCCGACCGCATGTCTGACACCGGCGAATCCAACATGGCGCCGACGGCAGGAAACTCAAATCCGCCGAGCCCCACTACCTCTGACATCTCCACAAACTCACTGGACTTGGATGTCAAGGAGATATTGAAGAATCTCCCATCAAAAACAGACCTGGCACAAATGCTAGGCAAACTGGAAACTTCCTTCCAGTCCAAGTTGGAGGGCCTCAGCACTGAAATAAAGCAGGTAGGCCGCAGAGTACAGGAGCTTGAGGATGAAAGGGGGGCTTATTACACTCAGATACAGACCCTGACTACCAAAGTAAATGCTCAAGAAAGGCATATGTCCATGATGCAGAGATCAATGGACGACCTCGATAATAGGGGTCGTAGGAATAACCTGCGAATAAAAGGCCTCCCAGAAGCAGAGGGGGAAAATCTATACACAACGCTCTCCACGCTGTTCAATCTGATCTTGGGCCGAAAACCAGACGCCCCAGTGATCCTCGACAGAGCGCACCGTTCCCTGAAAGCCAAAATGGGACCGGGGACCACGCCAAGAGATGTTATCTGCCGCGTCCACTACTACGCGTTAAAAGAGGACATCATAAGAAAACTAAGAGACACTTCCACTCCTATGCTATTCCAAGGCCATGAAATTTCAATCTACCAAGACTTATCGTGGCACACTCTGCAAGCGAGGAGGGCCTTAAGGCCCATAACAGACCAGCTACGAGCTCGCGGCTTGCGCTACAGATGGGGCTTCCCTTTCGCCCTAACAGTCAACACCAGGGGCTCCACGTATACAATCACCACCCACCAGGACATCCCGGCATTCAGCAAAGCTTTGGGCTTGACAGAAACGCAAATCTTGGATTGGTATGCATCAGATCCTGCACTGTCCGCTCCATCAGCACAGCAAGCGCCGAAATGGAGATCGCCGGCTAAAAGGCAGAAGATGATACAAGCGCCACCACCTCAAAACGAAGAAAACGAGATGGAGTAGAGGGGCATCAACGGAGTCGTCCTCCCCCCCCAGATGGACCA